CCCCAAAACCCCAAAACCCCAAAACCCCGTTTAGGAAGAAGGTGATTGAAACATGTTAAGATTCGATTTTGGATAGGAGTTTGAAGATGTCTGTGTCGAGGTCTGAGCTGAGCTGGTCTAGGGTGTTGAAGAGGGCTTGGAGGGTTAGATGTGGGGGGAGAGAGAGGGTGGAGATTAGAGATGGCTCTATGTACAGGGGTGATGTGGTTAAGAAGGTGGTGAAATCGTCGGATGATATTGTTTTGTTAAGTGTTGTTCCAGAAATTTTCTTGAAAATTTGGAACACTCTTTCGTACAGAAATTTTGAATCTTCTGAATCAGGGTCAGAAGAATCATAGCATTTAACAAATTCTTTGCTTTCTTCTTTGCCTATGAACATTCGGGCAATCTCGTTGGTGAGAGAATAGCTAATATTTGCATTGATTTGGCATAGCCATCTTTCCTCTGTTCCATCTGGGTTTAACTGGATATTATCTAGGCCCATATCTGGGTTTCTGTTGGTCTCTATTAGCCAAGGATTAAAATCTTCATCAAGCATGATATCAAGGCCGAGAGTGTTACAAATTCTATCATTCAGTTCTTGGTTGTCTTCCATTTGCATGAACTCTGTCTGTTCTACTTCAATAGAGCTTCTGAACGCTCTTAGCAAGGAATTTGCAATATCTTTGATTTTCTGTTTGATCTCATCAATTTTAGCATCAGGATCCTCTCAGTTACCATCAAAATAATCTTCCTTGAGCATCTCCCATACTTTGGTAATGGATTGTTTGTTATAGAAGGCATTCTCATCTTCTTCACCTTCCTTCGGGCCTGGAGTAAAGCTTGGGTGTAACTTATTCTGACCTCGATTAGTAATGTTAGAGAAGGGGTTTGTTAAGTCATTTTTGTCATAGTCTTCTGCACAGATTTTCATGTATCCAGTGTCAAAAGAAATATATCCTCTCATTGGGCTCACTCCTTGGACTATTACAAATATTCTGAAGTCAAATTTCTTGTTTTTATAAAGCAATGGATTAACGATGTAATGTTGAATTGCAAAGGCATGATCTTCTTTTGTTTTTGGAAGATCTTCAATATTATTGAATATTATCATTCCTTCACCTCAAGCTCCTATTGAAGGTTTTCAAATATAAGTCCTTTCATAACCTGATTTTTCAATATCTTCTTGCAAAAGATCTACATCTTTCATCAAAGTGTAGCATGATGGATGAAAACTAAACTCGGTTGGATAGTGCTTCTTTCATTGGCTTAGGATAGCATACTGGAGAGTTTTCTCCTTGAAGATTTCCATTCCATAAATTCTATTAATGACTCCTTCGTATTGAGAGTAAAGAGCCTTATCTTTAAGAAGTCATTTTTGTTCATCTAGCCAAAGGAAGTTTGAACCATGGAGCTCATCAGAGACAGAGTAGTTGTCAAAATTATCTTGCATAAACTCTGCAACTTCAGGAAATTCTATGGCTCTCCCATTGCATATGACTCACTGGAAATCGATAACAGGGCAATTTTTGTTTGTTTTGAGTTTCATTTCCCTGTTTTTATTGACAAATTAATAAATTTCAAAATTCAACCTTTTTTTAGCAATTTGGGGTTTTGGGGTTTTGGGGTTTTGGGGGTTTGGGG